CCCCCCATAAATGTAGAGACTCGAACTCTGGTAGATTAAGTTTTAATATAAATGATCCAAATTAAAATAGAGTCTATATTAATGATTAATTAAGATTTTTAGGAATGCAGAGATTCGAATCTCTGATAAGATAAAAAGTTTATTTATTTTATCTAAATTAAGTAACATCTCGTTAGGTAATTAACGTAAAATTATTTAACAAAAGACTTGAATAATATAAACTTAAATTCCCCTAATTTAATGATACTTAAAAAAATTGTATATATAATTAATGATTAATTATTCTATAAAATAAACGTTTTACCCCCCCCCTATTAAAAAACTTGAGCAAATCCCCAGAGGCTTGATAGATCTTCAGATCTAAAAAGGGGTTCTCGATTTTTAGACCTTAAAAATAAAACAAATATTTTAATAATCAATTACAGGATTTTATGCCACATATAAGTATTCGATTAGTAATCTATTACATTCCTAGAATTAAAAGGATTTAAAATACTATACAAAACGAGGGGGTCTAATAAGAGGTGAACATGGTAGGGGGGGGAGTATTTAGCAAAGGTTATTTCTTATAACTTTGTGAATTAATTATTATTGAGCACATAGCCCTTCTATAATTTAGACCCCTACCTACCGACTGGGAGGATATACGTTACATCTTAATAAAGATGGGGTGTCTCGTTTCTAAAAATCTCGAGGTCAGTGCTTACCTTCTATCCCAAAATTGGCTGCATAAAACCCATTACCTCCCACTTAGCAAAAAAAACAAAAAAAAAATTAGTCTGAAGTGAAAAATTAAGAATAACTCGAGAGGTTTTCTAATCTAGATTTAGGTAGGATCTATTTGTTTTAAAATGATCTACCCCCTCCCACTTACCAACTCGATATTTGTTAGGAATTGTTTCTTGAGCACTTTATAGGGATTTTTTTATCTTTAATAATATAGATATAATATTATTTAAATTATTGGGCTAATATCATTTAAGTTATTTTAGTTCAAGTCTTTAAATAATATTTAATAAAAAATTTTGTGGTTTACCGAGAATGGAAATTATAAGTTGTAAGCTTTTGTCTTACCAGAGTCCGAGTCTCTGCGTTATAATTATACATGTCTATATTTCTAAAATAAATCTTATCCAATAAGGATTACCCCCGGGTATTAATATCCAATTAATTAAAATGTTTCTTTTCTATACTATAAATCTTAAAGTGATTAAAGACTAAAAGTTAAATTATTAATATTGATTACCTTCTTTAAAGTAATCATACCGATAAAAATCTATAAGACCTTATATAATTAATTTTTTTGATAGAGTCTTTATCTTTTATAGCGAAGCCAATATATCGGGAGCAAAGGATAAAGAATAACTATTTAAGGCTAGGGTTTATACATATTTTGGTTGTTGATTTAAATAATCAACCCACCAATAACCCCCCATCCTCTTAGGGGGGGGTTCTAATTAAAAAAAAAAAAAAAAAAAAAAAAAATGAATAATATCATCCTACATTTCTTAACATTCACATCTATAGCATCTGCCCTTTTAGTGATTACTGCTAGTAGCCCCATAATTTCTATATTATTTCTAATCGCTGTATTTATTAATGTAGCTGGTTATTTAATCTTGTTAGGAATAAACTTTATAGCCTTAGCGTATGTTATGGTATACATCGGGGCAATAGCTATCTTATTCCTATTTGTAATTATGATGTTAAATATCCGATTAACTGAAATTTCTCAAATAGGGTCTCAATATAGTAAAAATCTGCCATTAGCGATTATGATTGCAGCCACTTTTGGTTATTTGATAGAATCAAATACAGTTATATCTAGATTGGACAATGTTCATCTATTTACAGCTATCTTTGATAAATTAAATAATTGGTTCTTAGGTATTAATTCTTCAGAGAATACTATTTCCACTGGGTTTAATACTATCTATAGCAATATCTTCGTAAGTTACGAACAAATTGAATCTATAGGGGCTATAATGTATTCATCTTATGCATTATACCTTGTTCTTGTATCCTTTATATTATTACTAGCAATGCTAGGTCCGATAATAATCACGTTAGATAAAAAGTCTAACACCCCCCCCCCAGCAAATCTTTAATTCTATATAATAACAAGGGGAATAATTTAAGTAATCCTCGTCGGTATTATAGGACTAAAAGACTTACTAAAGTTGAAAGGGATTTTTTCTCTATACCCCCAACATTTACAAGAGGTTATTATTGGTTCTGCAGCAAATTTATATGAACGATTAAAAATGTATTATCCCAAAAGTCGTTTAAATAATGGTAAAACTATGTATACCAATAATGCTATTTTAAAACATTCTTATCCTGCATTTAGTTTCTCAATTCTCGAATTTTTAGATATAACGGATTTATCAAAAGAAAAACACGTGAATTGATTCTTGGGCGTGAACAATTTTGTATAGATTCTTTGGGACCTGAGTATAATATAAATCCTACAGCTGGATCTCGATTAGGGGGGCCAACCCATACTGAGGAATCTAAAGTTTTAATGAGTGATACCCATATAGGTAAACACATTCAGCTGGGACTAAAGCAAAAAAAGGAGTGAATCTCTTAAAGGGTCATACAACCCTTTTTCTGCCGATACTAAAGCTAAGATGAGTGTAGCCAAATTAGGGGGGGGTAATAACCCTATGTTTGGGGGGGGGGGGACTCGTTCTGCAGGGACTAAAGCAAGAATAAGCGCTACCCGAGGGACCGCTATTTTTGTATATGATATTCAAGATATACTAATAAATACTTCCCCTTCTGCTCGTAAAGCTGGGGGGGGGGGGTCCTTTGAGACTTATAGTAAGACTATATTGGGGGGTACTGTAGTAATGGTAAGTTATTTAAAGAAAAATGGGGATTATCTTCATCTAATAAATAGGGGACTGAAATTAGGGGGATAGGGGTTACAATGTACCATCCTCGTTTATAATCAGTTTAGGGGGGGAATTTTTTTTTTTTGAACACCCCCCCCCATTCGCAAAAGGTTTGACCCCCCCCCCTTTTCGGCGAAATTCATAATAAAGACTTTATGATCAAAATGGTTTAAGATTTTAAGAATAAATTATAAATATTACATCAATAAGGTATTCAAGATAAATAAGGTATTCAAGATGAAGACCAGTATTCATGATCGATATAATAAATAAGACAATTAATTAACATTAAACTTTTATTCATAACAAATTTGATAAGAGTTTGATTCTTTTTTGTCTTAACACCCTATTGGGAAGGATTTTTATTATTAAGTAATATACAGGATTTGTATATTACAAAATTCTTTAATTTTTTTTTCTTATGCTAAATTAAAGTACTCTTTAGTTAAAAAATTACACCTTTTATACCTTATTCAAATAATAAAGAGAGGTTTTATAACCTAGATTAATTACTAGTCTGGTTGTTACATGGTTTATATGGGTTCATTAATTAATGAGTCTATAATGTTTAAGCAATCCTTATAATTTCGTCAGAAATTAAACTAAATTATCTTAAATTATATGGAGACATAAAATAATATTAATAAAATGGGAAACATAATTTTTTATTCAAGCTCTTTTTTCTCGGATATATTTGGTTCTTCAGTTTTATATAATATTTTTGTACCTATAATGATTTATTCTAATACTAATGCGGATAAATCTCTAATATTATCTGGTCATAAAAATAAAGCAGGTATCTATAAGTGGACACATAAAGAATCAGGTAAAATTTATATTGGTTCTTCCGTAGATTTATCTAGACGATTTAAAGATTATTATTCCCCTTTTAAATTAAAAAAAGCGAATAATTATATCAGTAAAGCTATAATTTGTCATACTCATTCAGCATTTTCTCTATCTATTCTTGAGCATATTAACATCTCTAGTTTATCTATTGATGAGATTAAAAATTTCATACTTGAACGGGAACAATTTTATATAGATTTTTTAGGACCTGAGTATAATATTAACCCAATAGCCGGATCTCGTTTAGGCTCAGAGCATACTGAGGAGGCTAAAGTTCTTATGAGTTTAATAAAATCAGGTGAAAAACACCCTAATTTTGGTAAGACTCTTTCTGCTGAGACTAAAGCAAAAATAAGTATGTCTTTGTATGGAAAAACTCATACAGCTGAAGCAAAGGCTTTAATGAGTGAAATTCAGAAAAGTATTAACAGGACAGGGGAGAATAACCCAATGTTTGGAAAGCCTCGTACGGATGAGACTAAAGCAAAAATAAGTGCTACTCGGGGTTTTGCTATTTTTGTGTATGACCCTAACGGGGTTCTAACAAATAGTTTTACTTCTGCTCGTAAGGCTGGAGAACATTTTAATACTCATTCTAAGACTATAATGAGGTACTCAAGAAGTGGCAAGGTTTATAAAAGTAAATGGGTTTTATCCTTAAGTAAAAAAATAGAAATTGTATTATAATAGGGGCTAATATACTATCACTATTTATTATATGTTTAAAGAAAAGAATTTTTTTTTTAACACCCCCCCTCGGTGGGTCCCTCGCTCTTATACTTATAATAAATAAAAAAAAATAGACTTTATGATCAAATGGTTACGATACAACTCCTTCACAGTTGAATTGCCGGTTCAATTCCGGCTGAAGTCATTAAGACACGATTCCTTCACAATTGAGAGACCGGTTCGATCCCGGTTGAAGTCAAAATCAACCCAATAACGCAACTCCTTCACAGTTTAGCTACCGGTTCGATCCCGGTTGAAACCAAAAAAAAAGAATTGCCCAATAAAAATTTATAAAATCCAATACCCTCCTCTTTAAAAATAAAACTTAGGGGGGGGGTTAATCCCTAACTAAACCCCCCTCTCCCCCCCCCCTTTTTTGGGGGGGGGGGGGGAGGGAAGCTGACCCAGTAGGCCCTACCCTAGCACCAATAAG